GTCCTTATTTTTGGGATAATTAATTATATTATTAAAATTTTTTGATAAATTAGTTTCTATATTCTTTAATTCGACATTGTTAATATTTCCCTTCTTTTTCATTTTCCTTTTCTTTCTTCTTGTTTAATTCTGGCATTTAAATTCTCGATGTAGGGGAGCTCACCATGACAGGATAACTTTTACTTTATATATGTTAGTTTGTGTTTGCTCTGAGGAAGGCTCAAAAATGAACCGAAACATGTAAGCGCGTTTGTTAAATAAAGAAGTTTCAAGCTTTATATGTGTACTATTTGCGCGACGTCTTCTGCGACTCCTAAAGTCCGTATTCTTTCCAATATTTCTGAGGAAGGCTCAAAAATGAGCCGAAACATGTAAGCGTGTTTGTTAAATAAAGAAGTTTCAAGCTTTATATGTGTACTATTTGTGCGACGTCTTCTGCGCTTGACTCCTAAAGTCCGTATTCTTTCCAATACTTCAATTTTTTTATCTTTTTGGAATAACATGTAAATGTATAACATGTAAATGTAAGCCAGTCTTTTTTTTTAATTGTTCTAGGCTGCATTACTCTGATGACCCTGTGTATCATCCTTGTTTAATTAGGTGAAAAACAAGGATAAAACGATACATGAAGGCAGTTGGATAACGTTTCTGAATACAACCCTAATGGGATCGATAATACTAGTAAAAATTCCGATGAAAAAAATAACTTAAAAGTAACTTAAAATTACTTTTTCAGTAACTGTAATTGTAACGAATTACTTTTCAGAGTCAATAACTTGTAACGGTAATTCATTACTTTTTGAAAGAGAAAAACTGTACCTGTAATTAATTACTTTTACAAAGTAACTTTCCCATCTCTGCATACTAGTTAGTCATAAAGTGATATCAATTATGCTATAGGTAGAAATTCTTCGAATATACAGAACGAACATAATTTACAAAAATCTGAAATTAGAAAAAAGAATGCAGGAATAAAAGAGATATGAATTATTATCAATTACTAGTAAGTGTAACTTTACATGTTGGATCTACGCATATATTTTGTTGTCATATTTAGTTCAATTATATCATTTAAAAATCGCATTCAAAGCCTCGAAGTTAGATTAAAATTACAAAATTATACCAACTTTTCAAAATTATATAAAAAATACGCAGCTGTATAAAACTATGAAGAAATATTTCTTACGTAGCTGTTAAATAAAGATAAATGTTAAAGAAAGAGAAAAAGTTAAAAACTCTTTTGAAAAATTGATTTCTATTATTTTATTTTTGTATCATTTTGTCTATTTTCTACTCCGATATTTTAATTTTATTTAGACCAAAAACTGTTTGTATCTAGAACGAGTTGATACAAATGGACGAACATCTGTATTGATAACAATAAGTATGATTAATTACTTCCGGAGAATCGACTTAATCGCGAATGTTCTTGTTGCTGTGTTGCACAACGAAATGTTTAATTAAACGTCGATTCTAGAATCCCAATCTCTGGTAGAAATAAAAATATGGAAATGCAATGAGCTGCACACTGGTAGATACACAAGATAGCTGTATAAGCTCGAACTAAGCGCATAAATGCACGAAGTCATTTTTTAAACTCGCATAAATCTTTCCGCTGCAATTTCTCACTAACCACGTTGGCGGTATCTATATCCCTCATACCTTCGCTGTCGGTGGGAAATCTCATCGCATTCGAAGTAAGAACAAGCCACTTAACTAACGATTACATCTTCGCGTATACATAATGCATCTTTCTAAAATTTTATAAATATATAGTACAAAATTACAGTTATAAAATAAAATTATACAAGAATACATTTTGAACAAAGATAATATTTTCTTAGGATATAAGGATTCAAGCTTATATAGATAAATAACTTAAAATAAAAATAAAAAAATAATTTTGGCTCCAAGAATAAATCAAATATATGTAAAATGCTTATATGAGCGTGCGCAGTTGTTGGTGCATAAATTATATTTATAAGGCGATAAAATATAATTTGCAAACAACTAGAATGTAGTTACGAAGTTAACTGCAACGTTCCGATTTTGAATTTGAGTCCTCAATGCGGAAGTCAAATACAGATTACTATTTGTTAGTATTTGGTAATGGACTTTCTAAGAAGAAGTTTCTCAAATTCAGAGTCGAAATGTTGTTTGTAGTTAAATTCGTTGATAAGTACATTTCAATTGTTTACAAATTATACCCAAGTAGAACAACAAGTCACTATTATATCATAATGATGTCAAAATGACTCTAAAATGATCATTAAAAGTCATTTTTCAATTATTTTTTATTTATTTTAATGTCATTTTGACGTTATCATGACTTGTTGTTCTGCTTGAGTAGTGTATTGTCTTATAAGAAATTATTTGTGTACCAACAACTGCAGAAGTTTATATAAGCATTTTAAATAAATAACGTACTTATCGTTAAAAAGTTTTCACTTATAAGGTATATCCACACTGTGCTAATCTTAAAAAATTTAAGATTTAATATATTCTTATTCCAATTATAATTCCCTTTTGATGCTACTCCTAATATGGTATACCCGAGATTTCTTTTACTTTGGTACGTTATAACTTTTTTATTAACAGATGTACACATATATTTGCTTATTACCGTTATATTCAGCGTTTCGATTGAAAAAAAATTTTCATATATTTAGTTTTATGCGATATTTTTTAGAATATCTCCAATGTAGCAAGTACGTGATAAAACGTTCTATATAGAATAGTCTCAAAGGATTAAGAAAATATTAAACTCTATATTTCTCAACAATCTGTTGAGAAATATAGGGACAAATCTTTCTTTTTAAGAAAACATTCAATCATATAATGCAGAAGTTTTACGAAAATTATATTATTTCATAACAGAATCTTATGTATACGTAGTGAAGTTACACTCGCTGTATTTGCGCGGTCACAGTGAAACTTCTTACAGACTTTATATAATTTTACGTAACTGTTTTCTTTGATGAGGGAATTGAAACAAAAAATGTCACTTTATAAAATTATCATATACCGTTGTTGTCATATAATGCGAAGATCATACATGTTAGCATCCTGCTGCAGTTAGTTTCACCTTCTTATCATGTGTAATATGTACTTCGTGGACTGAGATTGCAAGCTGAGAATATATAAGTAAAGAAAAATATATAACTCGAGCGGGAAAAACTCTTTCAGCCTGAAAAAAGGAAGAAGGGAAAAAGATATATCTTTTGCAAGTCATCGTGTCGCATTAATACTTTCGCGGCGGTTCGCTATCAGCGTTTTACGAATTTATTTCAATTCCGTGCGGTGGACACACAGTTAAACGGATTTCGACAATTCATTTACCGTTTGATCTACCCGCGCATTTCAATTATATGTTTACTCTTTGTCGACGGCATTCGCCTTCCTATTGAGCCCGAGTGCACACCCGCGCGTCGGCGGTCGCATCGACGAGCCGGGTAAAGTCGTGGGAACGGATGCGGTACGGTACAATTGAATTAATCTCGATCGAACAACGCGACCTCCGAAATGAAACAGGAAATCACGTTATCGTACGTGGCGGCGTGCACAAGCATGCGCCGCGAAACAAGCGGCTCTCATTAGTTGTTATTGTTTGATCGTGATTAGCAACAAAACCATGATGTTGCTGAATATGGTACGTTATCGCAATTATGTGCCTAGGAGATTGTTGTAACTATTCGGATAGTGGCGGGGGAGAATATAGAAACAGACAAGGTATTTTGAAAGGACTGTAATAATTCGCTTTATCAGAAATAAATAAAATGTTCTGAAAATTTTTCCTAATATTCTTTAGACTTATAAAATACTATAAATAACATTAAAATGTTATCGTTTAAGTTTATTTTGCCATAAATTTTATTTAAATATCGTTATCTACCTGTATATAGTCAACATTATGAATCCAGTAATCGCGCGTGATTGGTCGTGACGTCATTATTAGCTATTTCGGCGGATAGTCAACAGCAATTGAATATAAGACGCGTTGTTTTGATAATTTTGTCATTATTATTAAAAAAAAAAAAAAAGAAATGTGTGACAGTGATTTTGTGAAGGCGCAATCAGATAATCTTTCTAAAGTTTCAACGGGAATGATTGCTGATTATTTTATAAATAATGAATGCTACAATATAGCCGAATTAAGTGGAGCTAAAATAAAAAGGTAAAATAATTAATGTTTGTTAATAATGTTCAAATACGAGATCAGTATAATAGTAATTTGCCTAAATTTATTTAATAATAATAATTGTATGTACATTCTTTACTCAAAATGCTCAGAATGTAATCCTTGAAATCTAACCTACAAAAATTATTAGTAGCTCTTGTTCTTTATTGTAGATCAGAACGAGTAAATTATGGTGACTCTGCAGTGGGCTAATTGTTGTGAATATTCTCGCCCGTCGCCTCTTATAATTTCTATCCACTGTTTTCTCGCTTCGCCTTTTCCGATGCCTTTTGGCACCGGTATGAAAATCTTTGTAGGTACATTAATCATCGTATTTTCACACTCGCGAAAAAAACAAGATTTATAACGCTTCTTTCCGTATCTTTTTTCATTTGACATCTTGTGTTGTAAATTCGAACAGTACGGCTGACAGCAGTTTTAAGTTTAAACACGACGTAAATAAGCAATAAATATGATATAGAGCGGATGCGGCGATGGGATTGGTTAACTATCGATGACTAATAACGACGTCATACGACATTTTCGCGCAAAAAAGTCCGATTCAAATACGACAATTTTTATTTTGTTATTAAAATAATAAATATGCATGACATAATTTTTTATATATTTTTTATAAACACATATGGCTTAAATTATTATTTAAAACAATAAAAAAAAATACTGTTGAACCCAATTGAAGAATGCCTATTTGGGGTCTCCCCATTGTTTTATAATTACAGAAATTATTCAAAGTAATTAAATGGTCTTAAATGTATTAAATTATTGTGATTTATATATTTCTGTGAATATCAGATTTCTTGTATCGTTATATTTTTATTTTATATTCTAGTCAAAAGAAAGATTATAAAGAATATTCGCCTTGTTGCGCTGCGCGTCCAATAACAAGAACTTGCTTGAAGTAAATGTCACTTTTAACATGTTTACTGATACTGGAAAGAAAATCACACTGAATCGTCCATGGTAAGATGAAGAGCTAAGTTGCGCCTTTTTTCGAGAGTCATCCGGTCGGAGATTTGAATCAGATTTGCCTGCTCAATACGAAGAGTTCGTCTTAATTCCTGCAGTTTCCATGCCGCCTCAATCTGCTTTTCGGCTATTTGCTTCTGCAAGGCGGCAATCCGCCGATTTAAAGCATCGTAATCTGCTCGCAACCGATCATTACCGTGGTCTCGATTAATCACTGAACGATCGCAAACCGCAGGACTGCTATCTTGTTGCACCATATTCGAAGTCAACAGACAGATTTTATCGTGCAACTCGGCCAGTTGCGTTAGTGTCAAAGACTGAGAGCGACAAACGTAAATATTTTATATTAACAATCAGTTATTTCCGTTTTAAAAACTATTTTTACATTACAGAGAAAGGACAGTTTTGTTGAAGTATCTAAAAATCTAGCTAGAGAGATACAAATCTGAAAATGAATTTGTTGAACTATCAAAATAATTATGTAGGATGCTCAAACTGATTGCCAAACGTCAAAATTTTTGCAGAGTTGCTCATTATGATTGAGATTTCTACGTAATTATTTTGTTGATCGAACAAATTATTTTAAAATCTATAATTTAATAAATTTATTTAGATATTTCAGTAAAATCGTTCTTTTCGTGTATATCTAGATATATTTTTATCTGTCTATAAGATATAAGTAACATATAGATGTATTAAGATATGCAAACATGGAAATAATATTTCAATTTATTATAAGTACGACGCGTCAATATGGAGAAAAGTGAGATTTGATAGATATAAAGAAGCAAACGCAGACCAGCAAAATGAACTCTTACCACCACACGTACATACCTTCAACCAAGATTCAGGGTCAAAAGCTGCAAGCTTATCGCCGTTATCCACACCTGCAACCTTGGTAACTTCCACACCAAGCTCCTAGAAGCGATTCATTTCCAGCGTTAATATGCAAGTCAGAAAATTCAAATTATCCTCCGGATAAATCATCAAATAGGATATTGTTTGATGTGTATTGAATTAATGCTATCTGTTATTCGCCTCACCAATAATTGCTTTATGTAATTCTCATTTTCTTTCTTGCATTCATTAAGTAGTTTAAGCAGTCTATCGATATCCTGAACTTCGATTTCCGCCAGATAGATATTCTCGGACAGCTTTTGCGATTCTCTTAACAATTCCATGATGGAAGGCACAATCCAGCGCTCAATTTCAAAATCATCGTCCAATGTTGTCGCCATCGTGGGTCTCGCAGGAATTTTTCCATCCACAAATTGTATGTAATCACGCACACGTTGCACGGCTGTTGTATTGCGAGAACAAATGCAGAACTAACTTGTAGAATTTATGTAATCAAAGTTTGTTCTTGTCATTTTCTATGTATCACAAAATTTGTCTAAATATTAGTTTTCTGTACAAACTGCACTCGCGACTTTTGGTGCAATGGCGTTGCGTAATTAATAGAATACAACAATTTATAAAATGTTGCCTTCGAGAATGTCGTAAGTTTATGGAAATGCTTAACTTATTAAGATATTAGCCGGGCTAATTACGGACTATGAATAAGGAAGTCCACGTTTCTATGGTGCAATAAAAACTGTCGGAATGACAAAACAGTTGAAAAAGTTTTTATGCAAGTTTTTACCGTCATATTGCTTTTCAATTTGCTTCTTCAGTAATTCGTTCGCCTTAACGAAGTCGCCGCATTCATCCGGTTTAATCACGCCAGCCTCTGAAATTACAAAGATGTTTTTCCTTTAATGTGAACGCGACCGACAAAATTCAATAAGAAAAAGACTTCGCCAAAAACTACCGAATGAATGAAACGCATTATACGATTAAATTATATCCATTAATTTATGCAACCACGCTATATTATCCAATAATGCAATCCCGACCATAAGTTCGGAAACAAAATTTTTTCACATTTTATGAAAAGTTAAATATTTCGATCAAAAAAATCATAGAGAAGTCTTTGATCACGCATTAAAGGGCAAAGATAGGGCTTTAAAAATCCATTTTTGAATTTTTTCTCTGCGGGATTTCATTCCTAAATTACATAAAAATGCTACAAATTAAACCGTGGTTGAAGATTTCTCTACAATTTTTTTCACACCAAGATATTTTTCATAAAATGTGAAAAAATCGTAAGTGTTTCTAGATTTTAGTCGAAACTGTATATCGCGAAAAGGTACAAACCTACGATGGGAGGCAGAAATTGCAGAAATTTGATCTTTTCGTTCAAGTTGTTAATTTCATCGTTTAAATGCTCTTTCTCCGCTTGACAATGATCCAATCCGGATTTCAACTCTATATTTTCGATTTTCAACGCATTATTTGCAGCCAACAGTCTTTGGATTTGATCCTTCGTCCCATTAACTTCTTCTTTGACTTGTTCAGGATAATCTTTTATTTTGTCCAGCAGCGCCTTCAATCGATCTAGTTCTAATTCCAGGCCGTCGTTGACTATTTTTAATTTATTATTTTCTTCCATCGCGTGTCTTAAATCTTCTCTCGCCTCGTCTAAACCTACAGTAGGAGGGAGAAATGTCAGCAATTTGATTTTTTCATTCAAGTTGTTAATTTTATCATTTAAACGCTCATTCTCCGCTTGACAATGATTTAATCTGGATATCAGCTCCATGTTTTCGATTTTCAGCGCATTATTTGCGACAAACAGTTTTTGGATTTCATCCTTCGATTCGATAACTTCTTCATCGACTTGCTCAGGATAATCTTTTATTTTGTCCTGCAGTGCTTTCAATCGACCTAGTTCTAATTCAAGACCGTCATTGAGCATTTTTAATTTATTATTCTCTTCCACCGCGTATCTTAAATCTTCTCTCGCCTTGTCTATCTCGATCATCAATTTCTTCAATTCATTTTCAAAGCTGTCGATATCGTCAGCATCCTCTATAAAATCGCCTTTCGATTTCTTGATATTCTCTATTAATTTATTGATCTCATTTTGCGCTATTCTTAACTCATCTCGCAATTCTTTGTTTTCTACCATTAAATTTTGTAAATCCTGTCGCTCTTTATCATACTCCGTCCTTTCTCTCTGTATTGCTAATGCTCGAGCTTCCGAAGCGGCCAATTCGATGGTTAGTCGTTCGTTGTCCGTCCTGCATCTATTCAAATCATCTTGTAATTGAATCAAGACATCTTTTAAGGCAGCCTTATCCATTTTTTCTGCGTTCAGAGCGTTAATTAAGTCATCAAGCTGCGCATGTGCATCATCGGCCTTTGAAATTGCTGTACGAACTTTCATCTCTTTTTCGAGCCTCTCTTTTTCATTCGACAAGTCAACAAGCTGTCCTTCCAGAAATTTAATCTTCGTTTCGGCATCACCGAGTGATTTCTTCAATTTATCGATTTCTGCTTTTAATTCGTTGTTCTGATTCTTAGACTTATCTAGGTCATTCTTCGCTGTTGTTAAATCTGACTTGAAGGAGTCGCGATCTGTTGCCATTTTAGTGTTTTCGATTCTCAGAGCAGTATTTTCATTTTTCAATGAAGCATGTCGTTCGTTTACATCATGTAATTCATGCTTCAAACTCTCATTTTCCACACGTATTTTACTTAGTTCTGCCTTTAGCTCCTCCATTAATTCGCCGTTAGAAACGATCGCCTTTTTCTCAATAGTTTCTTTTGCAACTTTATCCGACACAATTTTACCTAATCTACTCACTTCCGCTCGTAAACTATCTAACTCGTTCAGAAGTGCCTCCTTCTCTTCTAACAACGTAGCCACATGATACTGCAATGCGTTCACCTTGTTCTGCGCATCGATCGACGTTTTCTTTAAATCCTCTACTTCACTGTTCAACTTGTCATTCGCCAATTCAAGGGTATCTAAATTCTTTTGCAGTTTTTCCAGCTCCGCTTTTAATCTATTGTTTTCCGATTGGCTAGTAGATAATTCCAATCTAATTTTTTCTGATAATTCCTGTTCAGCTGTCAAGTTAGATTTCAGATTTTTAATCTCATCCTTTTGCCTATCGTCCTCTCCTTTTAGTTTGCCAAATTCTTTCTCGAATTTCTGTCGTTCTTCCCTCAGACTCGTGTTTTCTAGTTTCAAACCATCAACTTCAGATATCAGCATATTTGATTCGTTTTTTAGTTTATTATTCTCATCTGTTAACGTATTTGTTTTTGATTTTAATGTGTTATTATCTACTCTCAAAGCTAATACCTCATTTTTTGTGTTTTCAAGTTCTGTCTTTAATGTTGATACTTGACGCGATAAATTTTCCTCCTTATCTCTTATCTTATTATTTTCTATTCTTAATTTAGTTAATTCTAGTTTTAGTGTTTTAAGTTCCTCTCTCAAAGCAATGACTTCATTCTTGACTTTCGTCAGTTCCTCCACAGCCTCTTCTTTAGCAGACTTTTCGGCGAATGAAGACAGATTTAGTCCTTCTAACAGATTTTTAAGCTCTGCTATTTCTCCCTCAAGGTTAATCTTCTCATTTCTAAGATTTGTTATCTCCTTCTCTAATGTTTGATGTTCAACCTATGAATTTCAATGTGATTATTATCAAAGGCACAAGAAGTTACAGGAGGTATATGTAACTAATTATCTCTACCTTACAGACGTTTAAAGCTTCCTTTGTCTTTTCATTCTCGATGGATAACTTATCTGAGCTCATCTTAAGCTTGCAATTTTCCAACTTCCAATATTCAATATCTTCTTCCGCTTTAGATAATTGCGATTGAAGATCAGATATACCCAGTCTTAAATTATTAATCTGGTTTATCATCTCAGCATTCGCAGCCCTTAGGCTCAACGATTCCTCGCCTAGATTCAACAGCTCTTTCTTGAGGGTGTCTCTCTCTTCTTTTAGGGCATGATTTTGCACCTTTATCTCATCGATCTTTGAGATCAAATTTTTCATCTCATTCTTTAATGCCACTAATTCCTCTTGAATGTCTCGTTTAGCAGTAGATTCTGCACTTAGATCTAATTTTAGTTTGTTGATCTCATTTTGTAAAGCGTTGATCTCATTCTGCATCTTATCTTTATCAGTCTGTAAACTAACGGACTGAGCCTCAAGGAACTTAATCCGATCCTCGGCATTGTCAAGTTGTTCTCTTAATTTATTTACTTCGTCCGTCGATAAATTTATTTGTTCCTTCAATTCATTTAGTTTTGTGTTTAGCCTACTGTTTTCATCTCTATAATTATTCATTTTCGCCTTAATATCTTTGTTCTCTACTTCTGTTTGGTGAATATCTGCTTTTAGTTGTTCATTTATAACTTTCGCCTCTTTCAGTTTATTATTTAACTCGACCGATTCCTGCCGCAAATCTACAACTTCGTTATTTGCCCTCATCAATTTATTACTCATATTATCTACCTCCTTTTTCAAAGTTTCTATTTCGGATAATAATTTTGTTAGTTCTTCTTTCCCATCATCCACTTCTTGTAACAATTTTCTGTTCTCCGACTTCAACTTTGCCATTTCGCTCTGCAAAGTATTGAAGTCCGCGAGTAGCTTGTTATTATTTACATTAGCCTTCTTCAATTCTTCTGTAAGAACTCCATTCTCGACTTTAAATTTGTTCAATTGTTTCTTTGCGTCGTCTAACGCTACATTTGTTTTAAACAAGTCATCTTTAAGAAGACCATTCTCAGATTTCAAGTTGTCTCTTTCAGTTGTCAAATTATCTCTTTCGCTTTTAACAGCAGCACTTTCGTCCTTTAGTTTATCGCTTTCAACCTTTAATCTATCCATTTCTTGTAACAGTCTATCGAAGCCTTCTTTCCATGCAATCCCTTCGGATTTTAATTGATCCGTCTCCGCCACTTGTTTTTCTAATTCATCTCTTAAATACTTATTCTTAGATAATAATTGATCTATTTTTGCCTTAATATTATTATTTTCCCTTCTCGAAGATTCCAGTTCCTTAATCATGTTATCAAGATTGTTTTTCAAAGCAACATTTTCTTCTTTAAGTTCGTTAGTCTCCAATTTTGCATTTTCCAATGTCTCCTTCAAGAATTCATTCTCAGTTCCGAGACTATGCAAATCGTCTCTCATGCCCTCTAGCTCTTTTTGCGCCACTTGAAATTTTTCTTCCTCGCAACGCAGGTCAACGTTCAACTTATCGATCTCGCTCTTCAACTCATTATTTTCCTCTTTCACTCTACTCAATTCTTGTGTTTTTCGAATTTCCTTCTCTAACGATGCATTCTTAATATTTAATTCGTCACATTCGGACTTCAATCTTTCAACGTGCTTCTTCAGAATCTCATTTTCGTTATTCAGTTCGTTTATTTGACGGTCTTTCTCATACACTACACTCCGTATCTTTTTCAACTCATCGAGAAATTCCTTTTTCTCCGTCTTAAGATTATACAACTGGGACCTCATATCTTCGATCTCGCTCTGCAATTTATTCACGTCCAGCACAGACAGTTCCGACTGCCGCAGGCTTTCGAGAAGCTCGGTAATCTGTGAACAAATACCCAATTGTCATGAATACTACTACAGAGTTAGACAAGTATAAACATCCTCTAGCATTTGTCTCATCTCAACGAAACAGGAGTTTACATGTTAGTATAAAACGTTCATGGCGTTTAACACACCGTACATACAACCAATTAGGAGCATTTACAGGCATGAAGAAATAAAGAGAGGTAACCTTATCGTCAAGTTTCTCAGGTTTCTCGGATTCTTCCTTCATCTCGGCCACCTCGTCCATCACGGTCGCTGGTCTGATAATCGTCTCATCCAGATCTAACGCTGGTACGACGATGGAGGCTTTCAGTTGATCAAGCTCGCTTCGTAGAGCCTCTGCGTAAGCCGTCTTCTCATCCAAATGCATTTTCAATTCAGCCAGGAGCATTTTGCAATTACGAAGCTGACTTAACAGTGCCGGTACGTCCTCTTCTTCCGCATCTGCAGGTAGAGGAACGACAATCTCTTCTGAGACCGGTGTAACAACTTCCTCCATTGAACGACGAATTTGCGTCAGTTCAGCTTGCAGGTACTCTGTTCGTAACAGATCTTCGTAGCTCTTTGATAGATCCACCGATGTCTGCATTGATCTCTCGACAACCACGGACACCTGTTGATCAGCCTTCTGACCATCTTTCATTAGCTCACGAAGCTTTGCCCTCAAACGATTTAATGCCGCACAGGAAGTATCCTCCTCGGCTTCCACCAGTTTCAACTTCAGATGGGATATCGTGTCTCGCATTCTGTCACGATATCAACAGTTTGCACGTAATTATATTGGCGTACCGTGTTTAATGAAGATAGATGATTTTCAAGGAAATATCGTAACTGACGAACTGTGATTAATTTCCTTTCAAAGCTATATAACTTTGCAAAGTATAAAACAGAAGTCTGTTTTGACTATTATGACAATTCCCGAACGATTAATTTAAGTAATATTAATTTTATAAGAAACTTTTTTTAAATTCTCCTTCTGCTTATTGCTCAATTATTTTCCCGTTTATTAAAACAATATGCGGAAGGAAAGAGTAGAAAGGAGAAAGAAAGACTCATTAAACTGTCTTAGTGAAATTTCATAGTCAATAGGTATTATGTACTGTTTTTTTTCGGCAGCAAAACGATCTCTCAGTGCTGCTATTTTCTCCCTCACGTATTTAACTTTTTCGCACGGATCGTCGCAGCAATCTCGTTCAGCGAGACTCTCTCCGAGGTTGCGAACTTTTTCCGCCAGTTCCTCATTTGCATTCTGCAGCCTTTCGTTTTCCTCGCGGTAATGCACGAGCAAGGGATCAGTACCCAATACCCCGTTGGGCTTCACACCTATAGGGAAATTATTTGACCGCCCGAAATGTATTCGGTACTCTCTTTTATATGACGAAGAAAACATAGGTCATTTGCGGTAAGCTGTGCACATCGATAGAAAGCTATGAAAACTTAATAATAAAAAATCAAGAAACGAAATGTACAAAATAATAATGTATTGGAAAATCGTTTAACTTAATAACCGAATTTTATTTGATATTTTGCGAAGTATCCGGAATCAATATGTGGATAGATTTTATTATAGAACCGTTCCATAGTGTCGCACCGAAAAAAGTACCGCTCTAAAATTACTCTTTGTATATATAGCTCGAATAGTAATTTCTTATAAAATTTATAAAATAATATTTATTCTATAAGAAATATAGTGCAGAAGAGCAAAGGCGGGGGAGAAAAGATTCGACTGTGACCTCTGTTATATGGCATACTTTTCGCCAAAGTTATAACATCGATGTTATAATTTTGATGTGATAAAAGCATGTCGTGTAAACGTAGTATATGAAATGGAACATCGATACCGAATGATTGTAGGGCTTGTTTCAGAGACCTATTTTCGCTCTCAAGCTGCAACCGCTCCATGCGCCACTTTTTCATCTGACATTTCATTACCGTCAGTTTTCGTAAAGCAAACGGTAGATCGTAGATCTCCGATTCCTTGGAATTGTCGCTAAAGGGATTGTAATCGCAGCAACAGCATGGCTCGTGCGGCGGTAATTCGATCGGTTTTATCGGCCGCGGTGCGTGACATCCGCATGAACAAAACGGCGGTACGTATCGATCGTCCATGACTTGATATAATTTTGAGGATTACCACGTTTAACCTTTCTGCATGGCGTATGTTTCACAGCACAAATTTATTCCTAAAAATGCCTCTACAATCGTTACGACGTTTTTTCGGGGAACGCATCGCATAAAAAATGTATAAGTTACTTGGTAACCATTTCTGTACTATATGTACCTCTAACATTATCGGGATGGAAAACAAGTTATTTATGACTCGGGTCAACTCATAGATAACCCGCGGTAGTAGAGTGCGCTATCATTGTTCCGTAAAAAAGCTCCGCCAAGATAAAATCTTTTTATGCATGGAGATATGAGGTTACGCGGAAACTCGTGAAACGTCAGTTATATTTTTTATATTATTCCCAGCGAATTCGATACACGACTCGGTAACATCGACAGCGAGATCGATATAACTCGATTTAATAATACCGAATTCATGTAAGTTAATAAAACATTATGATGTAAGTTTTCTTCCATCACGACCGAATTAAACTTTAGATAATTTAATTTTCAAAATGTATGTAATATAGATAAACTTTTTGATGATGAATATAGCAAGATAATATATCTAATGAATTGTCTCGCGTGTCATCGAATTTATATCAAGAATTTCAATCCTATTTCAAGCATTGATATACTTACCATGTCGATGATTTATGACCGTTTTGAATAGAGATGCTAGAGGATACGCGCATTATTCACCGAATTCTCCGTGTCGTAAAGTTCGCGCGCACCGAGAAACCGGAAGTACCGATTACGTACGACCCACATAATTAAGCGGTCGCTATAATTAAATTGTGCGCAGTATGCCCGGCGAAAGTCCTCGTTAGAGCAGTCTTATTAGGTGTTCCGATATTGAGGGGTTGGTGCAGCGATACTGAACGCTTCTTAAGTTTCGAGAGTTTCGAGAGCACTTGGACTACAGTTCGGTTCTGTTCGAGAACTTATCGAGAGGGCCCGTCATCAATTAAATCTGCGCGGTAATTGCAAAGGAAGGAGGAAAACACGGGTGCGGTGCGGGGTTAACGGAACTTCACGAAACTTTCCGCCTCCTTTTTGCTCGCCGTCCGCCGCATTACTCGTGCAAAATCACCGTTTCGTTAATCGAATTGGTGTAACAACAAACGGGCTCTTAGCTCTAACAAAACGTACAATAGGTAGATGTATCATGTATGTACATTGCACGTACGGATTCTAGAACATGAAGATATCTGTGCTCCTGTTTTCTTATCGCATATATAAAGTCGATTTTTTACATTTCAAAGCTCACAAATTATTAAAGAATTTGCTCGTTAATGTCATTTCGATATATAAAAATTTTCAAGTTGATGAAACATTTACAGACAATTATAAATTCTGCAAGTTATTGATGTTGTTACCATGACGTGCACGTTTTAATACAAAATATTGATATTTTAATGCTATTAATAAAATAATACAAATTAATTGATTATATTTATAATTGATTTATAAACGCTAACCTCGACGGATATTTTCAAAAATTACTGATAAGTTAAATGAAAATCTGTATAAAGGTAAAATCATAAATTTGATATATAAACAACAAATATATACATAATATTTGTTACATAAATGTTTAATAGCTGATATTAATGTTTAGCGAAGTTTATTATACTTAATGCGTTTTGTCACGTATTACATAATTCTGATAAATTGAAAAAGCAGCAATGAGTGACAAATATCTCGACGATTACCTGTCAGTGGTCGCGATTGACGTCGCCGTGGAAGAGAAGACGAGAATCGCCAGAATGGCTGTTGCGACATTGCACAAGCTGCATAACGTGATGCTGCAGATGAAAGATTGGCGGGACGATAGCGCGAAACTGAAGAGTAATATCTGGCGGATGAAAATGGCTTTGCATGCGGATGACAAGAATGGGAACGATAACCAGCAAATCGACCCTTTGATTGTGCATCAGAGGGCGGAGATTAGCCGGTTGGAGCAAGCAAATGACGCTTTAGAGAATGAAGTAACGAGTCTAAAATACTCTTTAACAAAAGCCGAGGAGGATATCGTGCGTATCACTGCCTCTGAAATAGACGATAAGATCGCCACACTTGAGAATGAATTCTTAAGTGAAAGAGAACGCATGAACGACGAGATTTTGTGTCTAAACGAGCGATTAAAAGAGGCTAAGGAGAGCGAGACGAGTGTCATGCTGAAACAACTCAGGGACGAGCTGAATGAATTTACAAGAGGTGATCGGACGATAGAAATAATCTTCGCTAATGCAATCGGCAAGACCGTTGAGATGATTATCGGTTTATCGGAGGAGCTCGTGAATGTTAGCGAGAATTTGTATAGGTTTAAGACCAGAAATAGGAACCTGCGTCTTAAACTGGACAGATCAAGAGCCATGCTGCGATCGAGATGTGGTAATAGCGCGGAATATCGGAAGAGAATCGGCGAATTGAACAATCTCGCCGAACAATTGATGGGAGAGATGGGCCGGCTGAAAGTTATTCGTGAGAATGCGAACTGTAGCGAAAGTTCGGACGCCATGGATATCCCAGACGTTGTTAGACACGTCGAACATTTGATGAACGACTTGAGGAACAATTTAAAGAGCGATCGCGAGGCGATGATCGCCGCCGGCGATCCTGACTGTTTGAAATACATGAAGAAAGTAGTTAATCTAAAAGTAAACCTGAAAGTGCTGTCCGTGGAGCTTAGACGATCGAACGTGCCGATAGACAAACGATTATGCGAGAATCTCCAGTACGAGAAATGCTTAGAAACAGCTTCGTCATTGAATGATTTTCTACAGGAAATCAACAATGAGATTGAAAAATTGAAAATAAAACCGATGAATAAATATTGCAAAATTGGTGGCATCAGCAGCTCGCAATATATGGCCAAAGTCACGGAACTTGAAGATATTGTTAAAAAATCAATTGCAGTAATCGCTATTTTAAAACAAGCTCCGCCGGAAATTATAAATACTAATGAGAAAATAACGGAGGTACTAGAAGGCTTGATCGAGCAATTGTACAGTAAAATAAAGGAACTCGAAATTTTCGATGACCGCGCGAATTTACGTGACAGAATCGAACAGCTTGAAGCTATGCTCATGTATTTAAAATCGGAATTATTGGAAAAGAACGAACGTATAGATGCATTGAACGACAAGTATGCAAGCATCGGATTAACGTCAGAGAGAGATCGTGAGAAGTATGAGAAGATTATCGCTGACATACGCGAGGTGAACGAGACTCTCCGAGGAGATGTAGAAAGGGAGAAACAAGAAATATTGGAGCTGTCGCTTAAACACGATCATTCCGAGCGACGTGTCGCGGAAATGCAACTGATGAAGGTTGAAATTGATGCAGCGAGGAAAGAATTGCAGAACCTTCATGATGATAAAGAGACGTTATTAGGGGAAACGGAAAGGATGCGTAACGTTCTTGGGGAGAAAGACGAGGAAATTGAGAATATTATTACCCAGAAGAGCGCGTTGAAAGCGGTCCTTAGGGCGGAGACAGAGGACCTGAAGACGAAACTTGGGATCGCTTCCGATGAAAATGTAAAACTGAGAAGTATAATTGAGGGACTTGGGAAACAGGAGGAACACGAGCGACTGGGCAAATTGAAAAGTTCGGAGAAGGAAAACGGCGGGGAGGAACGAGACAATGGCGAAGACCGTGCACAAAACCTCAGGAATGAATCGGAGTGCTTGAAAGCTGAGTCAAATGAGCCTAAAATAAGTCTGAACAAGGTGGACAAGCGAATCGGTTATTTGAAGTGCACGCCGGATGAAGACATCGACGACAAGGCCGGGCCGGAGGATAAAATTTCTTATTTGGAACCTACCGAGCAGTCGTTGACGTATCGATTGAACGTCCCGATAAATGCTGGCGAGGAAACATCGGGAGAATTCGACAGAGTGATAGCGGAGTATAAAGCGTCGAAGAATAAAGTCAAACAGCTTCAGAACGAGAAAGAACAACTCGAAGAGGAGTTGTCGAAGTTGAGGTCTGAGAAAGAATTGTTGGATAGGTCGATGTCCGATGCCAATAACAAGTACGCCGTGCTACAGGATCAAGTTAACAAATTTAAGTCCGAGCGTAACGGCCTTCGGGAGAAGATAAGCGAGCACGAAGCTACTGCGGAGAATTTAAAGTTTGAGCTGGAGAGAGCGCGGGCGGAACTCGAAGATGCGGTTGTTAATACGGCGCGCCTGCAATCGGAGAACTCGAAGGCCATCGGCGATTTGGATACGCTGTCTCTACGGAATACCGAGACCGAAGAACGTGTACGGGTGCTGTTGACAGAAAAGAACGAGTTCGCGACGCGTATTAACGAGCTCAATGATGAGAACGTCGCTCTGCGAGAGCAGTTGAATAAGGCGAGTGAGGAGAATGAATATTTTTCCATGGAATTGAATAAATCAAGGGTCGAAAATGACAAAGCGAAAGCGGAAAATGCCCTTCTGCAGGCTACCTACGACGCGAGAGAAAAGGACAATGTCGAGCTGAAGAAGGAGAGAGACGAAGTGAACGGAAGAATAAATGAAATCGCTAACGAGTGTAAAGCACTCGGTAATCAACTGAAGATCCAGCGAATGAAGTATGAGGCGTTGCGACTTACTGCGGCCACGTTGCACGACGAAAATAATGATCGTAAAAATTATTTAAAGAAGATCGATATGCAGCATCCGTTTGTGATGGACTGCGAGCGGGGATTCGCCGATACTCATAACGAGATTAAACAGAAGCAAAATTACTCGGATACCGCGCGTACGAGTATAAAGGTTGAAATTGGCGAACGGAGGGACGGTGGAACAGAAGTCAAAGTAGAATCTGATACACGCGTTGGTCACGATAACAAAGCGGTGATCAAAGACGAGCCAAAGGGCGAACTAGAGAGATCGAAAAGCGAAAATAACTCTTTGAAATTAGAGCAGGCGAATTTGAAATCAAAAAATTCCGAAGTTACGTTGAAACTGGCGGAAGGTAGATCCGAAAATGTAGTGCCATGGATAAAAATATCAGACGACGATGAAATTGTTGGTTCCAGCTTGAAGAAATTTGAGATCGCGAGTATCTGGCACGAGAAAGAAATAAGCAATTATTCTAATTATTCCAATGATCCGGATATGTCTAAAGATAGCGAAAGAACCGCGACGTTCGATATCGATCAGCTCGAAGTCGAGAATAGAGCGCTGAAGATGAAAGCAGGTATTTCGTATAGTAGTCGCAACTCCTGCTTGATGGACGACGGCAAGTTCGGTAGAGCGACGGACGAGATTCAGGCTTTGAAACTCGAACTGATGTATCTACGGGACGAGAAAGCGACGTTGAAGTCGCAGTTCGAGATATTTAAGG